TGCCAAGACAATTGGGGGAGCATGGCGCTAACATTTTGTCACGTGTCCCGAATAAAATCAGAGGAAGTACATCTCGGATGGAGGAAGATATACAGTATAAGTTTATATGCAGCTGGCAAGATGGATCTATGTTTAGCAGCAGCTGAAGCTACATGAGGGACGGAGCAAGGATGCTTGGCCCAGAGGCAATGCCAAACTAATAAACTACATAGTTTACGCATTAAGTCGTGGCATAATTTCCTAGTAAACGCTCGAGAATAAACCGCTGAGTGCCAACTGGCAAGAGGCAACTGAACTGTCGTTGTCCTAGGATTCGGGATTTGGAAGGCCACGAGGGCGAGAGAACGAAAGAGAGCTCGTGCATGGAGCTTTCGTGTTCTAAAAGCATGAAGAGAGTAGAGCCCTCCTTAAGAGCAATACTTACGATATTCGGGAATTGAGAATTTTAGAACCCCCCCGGAACTTTCTACCCCATGCATGCATGTAAAATGTTAAACCGAAATTGTTATTTGTGCAGCTTGCTTGTTTGGGGTACTACTACCACAACATCAGCAGCAACAACTTCGGCTGGAATGGCAGCCATGCTGAACACGACTGCGAATTGTTTAACAAGCCTCGCAATTTCCATTTAACCGGCCAAGTTTTGCATTAACCGAACGTTTGAGCCAATTAGACTAGACAGCCCAACTGCAGTTGCAACTATTTTGTGCCTATTTTTCCAATGCCCCCCTCCTCCGTCTGCTCTGCTCCGCTTTTTCCACCGTTCACGTCTAATTAGCTCGGAAAACATCAAGGGGGCGTGCCCAGCGGGCATATAAATTACGCCATCAACCCATTAAGTTTACACCTATCGAGAGTTCGTAATGGATTGCAATGCAAATTTGAGGTGTTCTGCTGCCAATTTTAAAATGATTTATGCACACAAGTCCACACACCCACACTGAACGACAGCTCACCACATGTTTTGTATGCGTAAACGTATAATATTTTGGCCACCCAGTGACCATCACCCCATCCCCATCACCCAGCATCCGGGATGAAAATCTTCTGACCCCCAAGTTAATTAATGAGCGGTCAACAAAGGTTTTTGCGGCTTCCAGCTGCTAGGAGGCAGCTTCATTGCTTCCGAAATTTATGTTGCCATGTGTTTTGCATTATTGTGGCCAAACATTGTTGCTGCGGCCAAGGAGGCTGGGGCAGTCTCGTCCGGGTGCAGACTCGTATCATTTAATAAGAATTTTAATGCACAACCGTTGCAGAGTGTGCACACTGCAGCAGGAAATTGAATTCCTGCCTCGTTTCATGATGAATTTATGTTGTGTGGTTAAATTAAATAAGACATTAAGTGCTGCATTATGGGCGAGCTGAGTGCATTCTCCAGTGTGTTGGTTCCAGCCGGTTGAACCGACAATCAGTTGCCGAAACCCCACAGGCTCTCAGTTTGGTTTGGCTAAGCCAAATAACTTGCCAAGACAAATATTCGCAAGCAATGCGGTAACCACTTTCTGTAAGTCTGTGGGTCTGGCCGGACTTTCAATTAAAATTAGCATTCTGGCCAGAGTTGAGTGAAGTCAAGGCCTTCTTATCCTAGACCCACGCCCGCTCACGTCCGCCGCCAGGTAATTAACAATAACAACTCCGACACTCTTGCGACAAAGCCGCCAACCAAAAACATGACATAACAACAAGCCGCCAGCTTATTTGCTTGGCAATGGTCAGTTGAATTAGCAGCAGGTCCTTGGGTCCCTTTGGTGGCTAATTAAAATGTATTGCTTTGTTGTTTCGACTTTAGTCCTGTGGGATAAATTAAGGCGTCTGGCAGCTAGCTGGTTTTTAAAGGGACGGGTTTGGTGGTCGGAGTGATGGTTGGAGGGCATCAACAGCATCATTATTCAAGGAGTAGACTTTGGAAAAAGTTCACTGGCAGCGCTAACGATCTGCCAAAGCGGCACAAGCTGAAACTGATGCGAAATCGAGCCAAACCGAAGAACGCTGGCCTGAGACCGAGGCTGAGGCTGAGGCTGAGACTGAGACCATGCACCATTAACGATAACATCATCAAAGAAAATCCTTTACGACCATGTGTCACGTCACAACGCACACCCACAGCCACCGACCTCCATCGTTTCCTTCAGCGAAGGACACATCACAGCCCCAGCCACACACACGGAGAGGCGCAATAGAAGCCTACGCTTCCTGTCACAGGACAAAACGCACAGCAGCAAATTGGCAGCAGCGACAGCAATTGCTACAAAAGGGATGCCAAGCAGCAGTCGGGGCCGCATATCATCGAGGCGGTCCCTCCCCCAGAACCCGAGAATCCTCCCGTGCCAGACCAGGATCCCGGCATCCTTCAGCGCGGGAGTCGCACGTCGCCAAAGCTCAACTGCACACACATCAAAAATAAACCATCAGGCCAAGGCTGGGAAGAACCAACAACAACCAGGGCAGGGCTGCAAAAAACGACGACATATCAACATTAGTCAATGTCGTGTAACGGAGTACCCGTGTCTAGGCCACCCTATCTCTCTGTTCGTTATTCTTTTTCTAACCTCCACCGATAGAGGTCTAAGGTATGCCAAGTTCAAGGAACTACTTAATTAATTACTTTCCAAAATAGAGTGTTTCTAAATAATAAACTTAATGCCTTCAAATACTGAAGTAATCTGTGAGAGTTCCTATTTATAATTTATTTGAATGTCTTGGGAATGGGTATGCCTTAGTCGTTTCTTAGATACAACACTTTTCTTGTTTTATTTTCGGTCCCGGCCTTGCAGCTGCTTTGAATAATTGTGCTACGCCCTGCTTGTGGATTTTGTAAAGTATGAAAAATATGCGTGTCTTACTTAGAAGCGCACCAGAGGCCTAATGAAGTGCTAGGACCCGATTGGTCCTCCCCCGAGGACTAAACAATTAAAACGTGTCGAGCGATTCCTCTCAATTTACACAGCTTGGCTGGAATTTGTCCACTTTTTTTCTCCACCGAATGGTACTAATGGTACACAGAAAGTGTCAGGCCGTGTTATGCCACTTTTGCTGTCTCGAATTTGAATGGCTCCCGAGCTGCATTTGCACAAGCTTGTCATTTATCAGTGGGTCTGCTCTTGAATTTCAATGCAGTTTATACAATTTGCCATACTTTGCATAAAAGCAAATGCAGCTCTTTGCCATCGAAACATTTTCAGAGCCGCACTTATGTGTGTGAGTTTGCGAATGTTTGCTTAGTCGCGGAAATTCCCACCAGCAGCAGCACGCACGAAACGCATTCTCGATTGGCGGCCAATGGATTGAAAGAAGCCGCTGTTGCTGCCACGTTGCAATTGGAGCAGTTGCCAGCTGAAACAGAAAAAAGGATAGGTGGAAGGAACAGTAGTAGGAGAAGGAGCCGGAGCAGGCAGCTGGGCCGGCAGCGTTTACCGAAGCTGGTGTGTCAGCCTCTCGACTCGTTCCTCTGATATTGACTTGCACTTTGTGGCGCTTTGCGGTATACCGTACTGCATACGAAACGCCTGCCAGACAACTGCAAAAGGGAAGACTTTAAAAAATGGCGAAGAAACAATTTTCTCCTAAGGTTCGCCTTTGAGGGAATTTCACTTTTCGGCTTTCTTCGGTTTGTAAGCTTCTCCATTGGATTTGGAAACTTGGAAACTTTACTTTCTTAAGACCATAACAGGAGATTAGAAAAAGAAATAATTCAGAACTGATCAACTAATATTTTCTCTAATAACTAGTATTCTTTCCCTGCCATGCTTAACATTACGAATACGACATGTGTACCCAAACATTAGTTTATTATTATTAGTTATCTAATAATAACATTAGATATTTTCATTATTAGATTATGGTTCATTTTCAAATATTAGGTTAGTTATCGTTAGATAAAAACATTATTAGTTAATCTAATAACTAGTATTCTTTCCCTGTCATGCTTAACATTACGTATACGACATGTGTACCCAAACAATTCATGTTCTTTTGAATGGGGTTTTCAGACATACTCTGCCAAGAGATAGACTAAGAAATAAATTATATTAATTTTTAAAAGAAACAATGGTAGTTTTGTTGGTGAAACAAAGTTTTCTTAAGAATCAGAGCGTGCAAAGGAGAAGCAAAGAAAGTGACAATGTAACAGGTGATTTGACCTAGGCGGGAGAAAAAAAAATAACTCAGACAATAACAAAAACCGATAACGATAACTTTATCCCAAGATCTTTTGACATGAGCAAACAAATAAAGAAAGCAAGCAACAGCCAAAGGAGCAGAGGGCGAAAGAATGAAATGCGATGGAGATGGAGAAAGAAATACGTGGAAAAATACACACAAAGTGCTGTCATTCATTGTGCTCTGCTATTTGCCAAGGCAGTTTCAGTGACATTCCCTGCGATTCTACCACCGTCCTCCTCCTCCTCCGCCCACCGACTTTGTTTTCCTTTTATGCCACGCACAGGACACACAAACAGGCTGGCATATGGATCCACCGATGCCAGGATGGGCGGGTGTGTCCAAGTCCAAGTCCTTGCTCGAATATCCCTCTGCCTGTGTGTTGGCTTGTGCGTGTGACGTTTTATCTCTGTCGCTAAATTGACACTTTAGTTAATGGATTTTGTATGTGTGAGTGTGCTATTTGCGGCGCTTACTTTTTATCTGAGCCTTGCTTTGCCACTGTTGCTCCTTAACATATCAGACAAACAACAAAGCAGGACACGCACTTGCCCGAAACATTCCGGCGCAAGTTTAAGTACTTTGAATAATAAGAATGCTCACTTTGATGGATGCGCAACAAATCTCTTTAGATTTATCAGCGCAACGATGACAACAAAGCCGGGAAGCAGGACTCTGGTAACTGGTAACTGGAAACTGGAAACACAGAAACGTGGCAACTGGAGGAAGGAGAAGACAGCCAAGAGATTGAGCTTGCATCTCCCACAATTCCTTCGACATAATCCACGACAACCATTGAGGGATTATACGTGTTTTTGTTATACTGAGTGCACACGATTTGTTTGGCGTTACTTGTCACTCACCAGTTTAGTAGAAAACTGTATAAATATTCGTATACAACACATTAACATTTATTTCGTTTGAGCAAAAATGCCTCGTCAGGTACTCAAATACACCGAAGACTATTCAAGGCGTATATCTCCGCGTATGTATTTCAAGGACTCACTCTCTTCTTAAATACATTTAAAGAATATTATTCACGATTTTAGGAAGGACAAAATTTGAAGTCAAAGGAAAAGTGGGCCCTCAACAGCCACATACACAGACACAATCACCAAAGGCGCAACCTGTTGGAATGAAGAGCAACCCATTGCACTTCCTCCACAAGAAGAGCAACGAGGAAATCATAGTCCATTGGACTCGCGCCGAACGCACTCAACAGCCACATACACAGACACGATCACCAAAGGCGCAACCTGTTGGAATGAAGAAAAACCCATTGCACTTCCTCCACAAGAAGAGCAACGAGGAAATCACAGTACATTGGACTCGCGCCGAACGCAGCCAGTTTCAACCCATTAAACTGTTGCCGCCTTGGTAAAACTTATAGAAATGTGACAAAATTGGCAACTTTTTAGCGCCTCATCGATTAAATATTTGTGAAAAAATTGAAAATTTCTACACTTTCTGGGCTCAAAGGGTCCGTTCAAAGGTCTGATTTTGAAAAAGATCATTTTAATGCTTCGGCTTAAGGGTAGGATTTCCAATCGCCCAGGCCTCAAAACCAGCCCCAGCCGAATCCCGCGTCCGTTAAATACACATGTGTATATCTGTCACAGGATGTCAAGTTTTAAATCGGCTTTGGGTCGGGCAGCAGCTTCAATTTGACGCAACAATTTATATGTGATTTGGTCGCATTGCGGCGGCTCGTCAGTGGGTGTCCTGTCGGTGGCCGGGGGCTGGGATTTGTAAGTTCTGTTGACAAAATAAGCAAAATAATAAATTACAAAAGTTGCGGCACGCGCTCCTGCTGGGATTTGCTTAATCGAATATGCACACAGTGGGATATATACAGAGACCTTTACATATAGGTATGGGTATCTATACCTGAATAAGGCACGACCTTTCCAATCAGATTTTCCCCACCAACTCATCATTGTCGGACGGCCCTTGACACATTAATTGGCCAAGTGCACAGCAAAGTGTTCTTTTAGCATCATACATTCCCCGCATTATATAAATATATGGGAGTGTGCTTTATGCAGGACCCAGGTGTGTTCCGGACTGGCCAAAGCCGAAGTGGGAAACTTTTCTCGAAATGTGCCAGCACATGCAAGTTGCAACTTTCTGCCACCCACCACTTGGGCACTGGGCGCGAACTTGGCCAAGGAAAACTTTTCCCGTTTGGTTTGTGGATCGCTTTAAAGCGTATGTGTTTATGCTTCCCACATTCCACAACCCATATAATTTTATTAAATAAAAAAATGAATATACTATTAACCAAATTAATATTAGGGTTAAAGCGGGAGTTTTATATTCCCCTTTTAATAAATTCTAAAATTTCAAAATTGCAAAGGACTTATTTTATTCGCTTATTGACCTAATCTTTGTTTATATATATTAATGTATGTATTGGAATGCCAGACTGATACTGATAGACTTCATAGACTGATACACTTGAAATATGTACTCTTTCTAATAACATGCATCATATTTTCTTTGAAGTGGTCCAGCTGATGTGAGTGTCAGTTCAGATATCCAAGCACTCATTATGCCCACTGCCGAGGGTATCGCACTAAGTGGCTCCGCATTGGGAATGAAAACTAAATGAATGGCCGCTTGAAGAGCCTCGAAGCCCAAAGGATTAAATGCTCGCTGCACACACAAAGGCGGATGACTACCACCGCATTGTGAAAACAACTCATTTATCATAAGCAGTGGACTGCAATGGGTGGCAAGTAGAAGGGGCAGGCATAAGGACAGGGGCAGAGTGCTGAGGCTTACGACAAAAGTAACTGACAACTGCAGATGAAATGTTGAAAGCGCGAACTGAACACACAGCGCAACAATTAATTGTCTCCGCATTCGTTACCCCATCGCCGTCGCCTCCATCACTGCCCTGCCGCTTCTACCAAGATGCCAGATGCTTTTAAGAGGCCAAGGATGAGGTAAGGATGTGAACCCTGCCGGGCAGGGGCTTTCGGCCATGGGTGCGGCAGGTTGCTCACCCGGCACGCAATAATCGCCCGGCATTTGCCCTTAATTAATGGTTGAGCGCAAAGTAATAAACGATATTTAAACAGAAATTGCTTTGTTTTTTCTGCTCTGCTTTTGTAATTGAAAGCAGACGAAATTCATATTTTATGCGACTGTCATAAAACTTTAACAACTATTTTTCCCAAATAAATAAAAACACCACATTAATTAACTCAAAAGCTTGAGCATGCAATAAAAGCATTGGCCAATAATTACTTTCTCTTAATTAATACATTTTTTATTAAATTAGATACGGGCTGGATAAAATTAATGAAAAGGTGTGAGGGGCAGCGCACGGGATTCGGTGATGAAGTATTATTTTAATGAAGATAGATAGACGAGGCACCTAGCCGCTTTTGTGCGTGTCAGGACAAAAGCCAAGAAAAGCCGGGCCAAGGCTGGGTCGCAGCTAGCAACTGACAGGAGCAACATGTGAGGAGACGTGTGACTCACAAGGGTTGTAAAATAATGAAGATACCAGCTACTCGTACAGTAACTAGCTGTAGCTCTAGTCAGAAATAAAGAAGTAATTATAGAAATTTATTATGTATCATCATTTTGAATTTTAAATCTTAAAGACACACTTTTCAATCAATCAACAGATATCCCAAAGGCCGAAAAAATTCTGTGGCATTTCCGAATTGCTACAGACAACGACTTGGCGCAACATGACCAATCACTTTCACCAGCCGCAACGATCTAATTAATTTGTTGCAAAATAATTTATTAATTAGCATGTCAGTGTCAGAGATTTTCGGCCACGGCTTATCATTAAACAAAGGAAATGCCATGGAATGACTGGCTCGGGACGAGAGGGGCCAGCAAGAGGTAAATAGGCAATTAATCTGGCTCAGCTGTGGACAGGTGTGCGCGAAAATCCAGCATAGGAAACCAACCATCGGCGATGTATTGTTCCGGGAAAGTTTCGTCAGACAGCAAGGAGAACCGGGCAAGGATAAAATAAAGCTGCAAAAAAAATGAGGACACAACTGAGGGAAATTGAACGAGCAATTATTTATTAATTTAACAGACACGCAATGCACATGGAGTTATCTCGATGCGATTCCTGACATCCGCCCAGATTGCCAGCCGTTGAATTTTTCGCATCGGTCTCTGTCTCTGTCGCAGTTGCAGTTGCAGTTGCAATGACTGTTGCAGATGGAGAGCTGCTCATGTATGGCCATTAAGCATTTATGATGTGTATGTCGGCATTGGTATGGCCAACGCAACAGTGTCCTTGTCCCGGCTCGAGGCAGCACGGACGTCACTGTGATTTCCCTTGTGAGCTGCCAGGACCTGCATTTCGCAGCTGCTTGAAATGTGGCGCCCTCGCCAGAGGGGTGCTTTAATTCGACAGCCTGGCTTACGAATCGTAAGACAATTAATCAATTGTCTCGTAAGTCCGATTTAATTGCGAGCTTTCGGCAGATCAAGTGACGTTTAACAGATGAGTCGCATTTACCAAATATCTAACGTCATCTTGAAGCTGATGAAGGTTTATCACAAGAACTCATTCAGTTGTCTAAACTCCTGGAGGAAGTACAACAGAGAAGACATTTCTGATTTATATCATTTTAAGCAAGTTCTACTAAGAGCATTCCATGCAAGGCACGGGCTTACATAAAATTCTGTTTAGCTTTTGTGTCTCTGTGTTTTTGAGGCTCGGTTTTTTGCTGTGGCCTTCTTTGCATCGCCTAAAGGACTTGGCATTTTGGCTAGGTTTTAGCAAATTGCAGGAAGGCATTTTACCCCCAAACAAGCCCGAAGCCAAAACCAGAGCCAGAGCCAAAGTCGGAGCCAGAGCCGTACCAAACTGAAACCGAAATGAAACTAAATCGTCGCAGTCAAACTCGCATCTGCAGAGCTGCACTTCGAGTCTAGGTCAGCAATTTTTGGGGGGTTTGAGGCGGGCTAGCAAAGTTTCTGGCAAGTGAAAACGAAAGCCCTTAGAGCTGGAGTATCTGGGTGTGTGTGTGCATCGGAAGTGGGTAAATAGTGCAAAGAGGAAATGTACAAATAAATATTTGCAAATGAAAATGAACAAGGAAATGGAAGCGCCATGTGGCAGCGACAAGCGCTGAAACGTTTTATGTGGAGAATATGTCCAAACTATAATGAATGTGGCTTTATGGCCGCAAAACAATTTGCACCAGCCCTGAACCCAAAATACCGTAACCGAAATTCCTTAGAAAATGCATTCCCCCAAATCGTAATAGCTGGCCCAGGACAGTACTCACAGTATTCAAGATTAGACTTAGACTTAAATCATGATTCGAAATTTAATACTCGACTTTAAGGCCGAAGATTATCGCCAGTGAATCATATTAATTCGAGTGCAGAAATTCCAGATAAAATAGGACCAAAATATATAAAGGCAAAAATGCTAACCAACTGAATTATTTTCGAATCATTCTAGGCAAAAGCAATTTGCATCTCAATTGGTGCTCAAAAATCGTGAGGGGAAGTGTGGGGTGGCAAAGAGACCGGCATCCGGGAACCCGGCAGAAGGAATGAGGGTTCTACGAGGGATGAGAAAAAATGCTGCCACAAAGCGGCAATCAGTAACAGTTATAGCGGAAAATAGCTATAATATGTATAGAGCTGATATGAATATCTAACCCAAAACAGGCAGAAAATTGCAAAAGTGCCTAAAAAGAATCCGCAGACAAGGGCACACCAGGCAGAAGGCGGTAGGCGGTAGGCAGTAGGCAGCAGGCAGCTGCACACATGACTGAAATTAAAATAGCAACAGCAACAGTGCGAGGAGATGTGGCAGCAGCAGGGGGCAGTAGGGGCCAGAGGGGCAACCGGCAACCACACAAAAGCAATTTCGATCAGGCACAAAGATAAGAAGCGGATTCAAGCAGAGAGCCAACGCAGCACATCAGTTACAAAAATGTAGGCTACTACCCAATACCCAAACCTAACCATCCGCCCACCAACCTCACACCACCCACAGGCAACCCCCCACACCTCAACAAAGGCCCAGAGAGGTAAAGGCAAAGGAGATAAAGAAGAGCCGAAAAAACGAACAAGAAGTCCTCAAAAAAATCACTCAAATATGAGGACTATAAGATACCTGGTACTCCTGGAGGACATATTAAATTAAACACAACTTCTATACTTATCTTAAAAATGTACATAATTTTATATAAATAAAAAACTAAAAAAAAGATACTTTTAATAAACATTAGGCGTATATACCCCTTTCAGCAAATACTGAGTATAAATAAAAGGCCATCCTTGGTATAGGCATACAAGGATGCGCTAGAGAATTCAGTTGGCAAGTGGCCTGGCATGGGCCTGTGGTTAAGGCCTTATTTTGCGGCTGCTGTAGGTGCGCTAAAATTATGCAAATCATCGTAATACTTTCCCAGCGAAAGCAAAGCGGAAGGAAATTGTGTAAAAGCGGCAAGCGGCAGGCGGCAGGCGGCTGAGAAGAAGCGTGCCAGGACAACCAGGATAGCACCCAACAGCAGCAGCCTTGTCTGTCGTTCGACCAGGGCACACTGCCTGCTGGTGGCAGCCTTTTGGCAAGCTACAAAGCAAATAATTGCCCCAGAAATTGAGGGCATGCAAACTGTAATGTAATGGAGCCGTTTCGCTTTGAACGTCGTCGCATGTGTAGCCCTAATGATGATATTTCCAAAAAGAAGTGAATCAAATAAAGAGCAAGCTGACAGAGTGGAAAACAGTAGAATGAAGTAAAATACTTGGAAAGTGTTTACTCAAGCGACCGCAGTCAATGGAGAAAGCTTAAAGACTCTTCCCATAAAAGAGTTTAAGCTGCCACGCAGTCGAGCATAAAGTGCACTCCCCCATCCCGTTTCCGGGCATCCAGAGCACCGTATACTGCCCTCCTATGCCGTGGCTTCCGTTTCCGGGGATACTATCCTCCAGCTCTGGCTCGAGGAAAAATTTAATAAACGTCAAGCTGAGCGGCAGGGGAACGAAAGCCCAAACATTGCACCTGCAGTTGACCGCACTCGGGAATGCCGGTGGAGAGGTTTGTGGGTGGATTTCTGGTATTGCCCACATAAGCAGACTTTGACCAAACAAATTCAGAATATATAGGTACGCAATATAACGTATACGACCCGTGACACATTTAGGACAAGAAACGAGCAAAGCTGGCCGAGAAACGAGAGCGAAGAGCATGAGCATTTTAAATGGCGCCACGGGCAGACATCCTTGATCCCTGATATCAGGAAACTTCATAAGTCTCTGCCCAGATTCCAGATTGTCCCTTCCTAAGACCCATCTCTGATTTATGGTCTTTAACTTGCTTAACTTGCCATCGCTCATATGTCAGTGTGGTGGCCTTATAATTGCACTTATAAACATGGACCATTTATAAATCCTGGGCCAAGTTCTTGGCAAGCAAAACTTTTCCCATTTCGCCAATAATTTCGCGCAACATTAACAAGCTTATTAATCGTTGCTGGTACACCCAACCCGAAACGGCGCAAAACCCGAGGAAATCAAGCACGTCCCATGATCCTAATGCCACCATGTGATGGGTAGGGCGCGTGAAATTGTCAAAGTGTTTTGGCCACATTTCATGCCCGACCACAGCGATGCGGGGCTCTGGCATTTTATTGCTCCCCAAGCCGGGCAGAGGGCGTACCTTTTTTGAATAGCGCGACACATTAACTTAATAATTTAGTGGGTGTCGAGTGGGCTGTTATAAATATTTATAAGTGGGGCTTGATATCCTGAGAGGCCGTCGATGGCAGTCCTAGGTCTGCTGCTAAGAGCTCCTCCGGCTGCCTCAACCGGGCTCAACTATCCTCGGCTCAATTGCGCGTAAAAGTCAAATGTCTCCTGCTTTACTTCTTCCTTCCTTCCTTCGGAAAGCTTCCTGGGCACACACATTCCACATACACATACACATGCAAAGTTTTGCACGTTTTCGGGGTCCTGGTGTCCTGATGTAAGTCGTCTTTATATATGCGCATGTATTAGTTTCGTTTCCACACAGCCACAAACGAAAAAGCTCTCAGTCGTTAAGGGATTTAGCAGGAAAATATAAATTTATGAAATATTCGGCAAGAGCATAGCTCAACGGCCAGGATGAACGAGCAGCGAGACTGTATCGGATATTTAAAGCCCCACATAACATGCACGGCACCTTGCCGCAAAAACAAAGCCAAAGGTCAACTCCAAACAACACGATTCGGTAACAGAAACAATCTGTTGGCCATCGGACTCGGTCAAAATCAATGCTAAACCAAACCGAACTAATGTTATTTGGGAAACAAACAACGATAATGAAATCATGGGGTGATTCGGTTGGCTCCGGTCATGTTGTGGCTTCGGACCAATAACTAATTTCATTTGCTCTGCCAGACACATTTGCAATTGGGAGTCAGCATATGCACACAAAAGTTCAACCTCAAAGTAATCAAACAAAAATCCATTTTCTAATATAGAGGATCTGCTGGATACCTAGATTCAGAGGTAATTAATTTATGGAACACCTCATTCAAGAAATATTGAATGGTTTAAATCCCTATAAAACTTTTAGCTCATTAAAGAATAAAAAAAACGTGCCTCTGCGAATAAAGAATTTTTTGCAACAAAAATTGCTTTTATTTTAAAACAGATGTGTAAACAATTTATTATAAACGTGCTGTGAAAAGCCAATTCATATAAATAGGCGGATCATTGCCGATCGGCAGACTAACCGACTAAAATTATTGAGACATGATAAGATTTCTGCTGCCATTACTAGCACTCTGTGCCATGGGTAAAGCCCTGTAAGTTTGCTATCACTGTGATGTTTATAATTCCTTTGGTGTTGCAGCCGAGGCCCAGGCCCAGTGTCAGATTACCCAGGCACAGGTGGAGGCGACCAGTCGTGTCTTCATGCACCGTCAAGGTAACGTGGTCACGTTGAAACGAACGGCCAGTTCGCCGGTGGGCGAAACCCTCGATATGTGGTGCAGCCGGGCAACTACGCGTGCCATGACCTGCCGGGCGGGTAACCCGCCCAGGTTCAACCCACCCCTTCCCATGAACTGCACCATCAACCCAGGAGCAATTGTGACGCCGGTGCGAGATGGCAGCTGTCCTCAACCAGCATCCATGTACCGCGTGGGCTACAATCTGGGCAATCAACAGTTCGCGGAACTCTATCGGGTGTGCTATAATAGGGCCACTGTACGACCCATTTTTGTGGAGCATAGGATTTATCCCAAGCCCTTTAGTGAGTATTATTAACGTTGTTTTCCAATTAAATATAAGGTCCTTGAATGGTTCTCTTTTAGACGCACGCCGACCCTGCACTGAATTCACTGCCGATGGCGTGATTGGACGAGCTGACGAAGGAAGCTTCTTCACGGGCAGCATTTACTCCACCTTCCGGCGACTTTTTGGCGCAAACCAGCAGTACATTGCAAACAATCGGACAGTCCTTCTCAGTCGTGGCCATCTGGCCGCATCGAATGACTTCCTGTTCCGGGATCAGATGTGCGCCACCTTCAAGTTGGTGAATGTGGCACCTCAGTTTAACACCATTAACGCCCGCAACTGGAACCGCGTTGAGGACTATGTTCGATCTTTGCCGAGAGGGAATACGTTTGTTTCCGTACGCACTGGTACGCGTGGAGTCCTGAGCCTACCCTCGCCAACTGGCCCGAAGGATGTGACCCTCAGCGGTAACAAGAACCCGGTGCCACTATGGTTCTACAAGATTGTACATAACGCAAGACGACAGCCAATTGTGGCTTTCCTCACATTGAACAATAGGTTTGCCACACGACCGCCGGCAGTGCCAAACTTCTGTACCCGAGTTGCTTGTCCCAACAACATGCAGTTTCCGCAAACGGGCATTGATGGTTACACTACCTGCTGCAATCCTGCCACATTCAGACCATAGTTGTCTACTCTCTGAAGCGGCAATGAGATATTCCAGAATTTGAATAAAATATCTGAATGGAGCATCGAATGTGATTTTTAAAGGGTTCACAGGATTACTGCTTTTTAAGCATTGCGAAAATTAAGGTCAAATTAAATATATTTTTATGCTTTCGTGGCGTGAATCAATTTTCATAAATCGTAAAAGTTCGCGTGGCAGCTTAAAAGGCATCTAAACTCTTGAAATTCATGCCTCATTCAAAATTGACTCCTGCTTCCAGTTTTAATGGTCATTCGGTGGCTTCTCATAAATTCCGCCGGCGAGTCCAAAGCCGCTCGACACTCGCTTTCGGCCCATTTAAATTCAAGCTGCGATTGTGGCACTGGGGGCAAGCGCTTTTCAATGCGTGCGAGTGCAATAAAGGCCATAGCAATTGCTTGGCTTGGGTTGGTGTTTTGTTCCCGCTAGTGGGTGGGCTGGTGGGTTGCGCCTAAAAGTAGACATTAAATAAATTATTCAGCAGGGCCTGGCCGTGTTGCTTTTAAATACGCACGCCTGCGAAATTGTTTTGTGCGGGTGTGGGACACCAGGCTGATGGAATATCAACAGAGAACTGGGATGGGTATCGGAAGTAGAGGGGGAATTTTAGGTGGTTAGGGGGTTGTGGCGCCGGATACCGGATACCGGGAGCTCATAAAAGTGCAGAATAAATTTAGCAAGAGGGCCAACCCGGACATGCGTTGAACTGGGCTCTCATAAAACCTAACAGTTGTAATTGTGCTGTAAACACGCAACTCAATGGCATTGTAAATGGGCCCCGCACTTGCACCGCCCCCCACAACGGGCAACCACCCACCGCCCACCACTCACTTGGGATGTCTATGAATCCATCGCCTACTCACACGCCTGCAGTGCGGCACAATTTAATTTATGCTCCGTTTTGTGGTCGGCTTGTTGATTTTGCCGCTTTGCCCCTTTTATTTTTATTGACCATTACAATTCCATACAAGCACCCACCCGGTCTCGCACCACACGATTCGAGGCACAAATTTTATATGGCATAATTTGGTTCGCTTCTGTGAGCATACATTAAAAGTGCCCAAATAGCGCCAAATTGCTCGTAAGCTGCGGAAATTGCGCTACGCCCGCTTGTCGTCCGTTCCGCCTCGCCCCGCCCCAAGTCCAGGCAGGACGAACGGAAGGCGGACAAAAGCCTAGCATACTTTGCCGCGCATTAACCGTTTGCAACAAGCCCATTAAAATACACAGCCACTTAGGCCCGCGTCTCCTGAGCAGTTGGACAAGGACTCATTCAATGACCAGACAATGGCTGACAGATGGATGCTACAAGGCTATTATTTGTGCCCAGTCTGGCTCAGATTTTGTCATTTTATTGACATAAATGGCAAACACCACAAGAATACATTACATGCCGTGTGATTTTTTTTCTAGACCTGTTTTATTGACAAAAGAATAACACAGTATCGATTTATATGATTGCCTAATTCATATATTTTTTTTAATCTACTTGCTGGATAAATATTAAAAAATATAGTCTCTTTTGAAAGTTTCAAGGGTTATTTGAGGGGTGTATATTTTTAGATTCAGCTGCCCATGGGTTGTGAGCACAATGTAAAATAATATAAAACGTTTTCAGAACAACAAACTAGTGAAGAATAATATTTCCACGTGAATGCTTACCCAGAACAATGACTCCAGAAGAAATATAAATGGCAGTGACAAAGCTCAGTCGTTACACCACAAACATGGCAGCTCCACAACTGATACGAGCGCTTCTACTGGTTATTGCGATTGGATTGGAATGGGGTAAGCAAAATACAGACAAGGGATACTAGAGGAATGTAGGTAATAACTCAAATTTTCAGTGCCCCAGACATCTGGCGACTGCACCCTTACCAGGACAATGATCGAAGGCACCAATCGAATATTCACTAATCGTGATGCCGCCAGCAACTACGAACTAAAGCGGGCTCAGCGAGTCCGTACCGGAGAAGTACTCCATATGGTCTGCAAAGACGATGACATCGTCCAGACCACCTGCACGCAACACAGAAACTTTAGTCGTCCATTTCCCATGCGCTGCGCCCGTCCCATAGCACCCTCGGCCACAATAGTTACAGATGCGTCCTGTTCGGCTACCATGTACTCCGTGGGCTACACCATCAAGAACCGTCACCTGGAGCTATACAGAGCTTGCTACGATCGCACCCTTGTGAAAGCTTTGTTCACCACCCACTCAGTTTTCCAAAAGTCCTTCTGTAAGTACACCATTAAGTCACACAATTATTTCTATTTAAAAGGTATTCTATACTAATCTTTACAGTCCCTGCACGACCTTGTGCTGACTTTACTCGTGATGGAGCTCTGAGCCAAGCAGATGCCGATAGTTTCCAGCCAAGCAAGGTCTTCAGGTCCTTCCGTCAAATATTCGGGCCCGCCCAACGCTACATTGCTAATGATCGGGATGTGATCGTTAACCGTGGACATCTGACGCCCTCCGGGGACTACCTTTACTCGGACCAGATGTGTGCCACCTTTAAATACATAAACGTAGTTCCGCAATTTAAGAGCATCAACGACCACAACTGGGAAACCATTGAGCGGTGGGTGCGAGGTCGCATCAGTGTCGGAGGCTCTCTGAGGATCAAAACGGGAGTGCAGGGTACCCTCACCCTGCCAGATCGCCAACGAAGGCAGCGACGCGTTATTTTGGGAGCCAATGTCAAGAACCCTATGCCGGAGTGGCTGTACAAAGTGGTGCGCACTTCCAGCAATCAGCCCCACACAGTCTTCGTGACCTACAACAACATTTTCGCCGCCAGTCGTCCCAACGCCCCCAGCTTCTGCCGCAGTATACCCTGCCCTATGACCCTGGTTAATACTGCAGCTGCTGGCTATACCTTCTGTTGCAACGCTACCACTTTTGCTCTTTGAAATCTTTATAAACAACAATCAAATCTGAAAATATCCTATACTAGTAAATATTTTAGACAGGGATTTAAATTTTCATTTTAAAAAGAAATTTTAGTGACGGAAAATAATAAAAAAATATTTGCAGCCAAAAATAGTCCATTGTTTTTGTTTCATAGATATTGGCACGGAGTAAAATAAATGCAAGTCGTAAAGCTCATTCGATGAATCAATATAATAGAAGCTAAAATTCTTTAAAAGTTAACTTAGCTTGCTGCTGTAACTTTTTTGTCTTGGCTAAGAAAATAGGATTGACATTTTTTTAGGGCTATCTTTGTATAAATTGGTTAATTAAGGAATATTTTAATATCCTCCATGGCTTCAGTTCATGCTATAAGTTTTTTTCTATACCTATTTTATTGTTCTGATTTCACTGCACATACGAACGCTTTTACTGATCGTTGCGATTGGATTTGAATGTGGTAACATTTTGGAAGCCGGCGTCACAATGCACCCTCCTTCTGCCACAGTATAGGATGCCCTGACAGAGCTACAAACAAATATATTAAATATGTAACGAATAATTATAAACTAAGTGCAAAAACTCGAAAAACATACAACATTTTATTTTATTCAAAATATGTAAGTATAAAGTAAGGAAAGAGCTACAAACAAATATATTAAAACTGTAAAGCTTCAATCCTTTGAAGACTTTTTCAAGAAATTTGTTGTATTAATACAAAGATTCAGGCTACAAAATATGTATGTATGCTCTAAGTCAGAACAATAAGAATTACAATAGAGTATTTTCATTTCCGGAAAATAATAAGCAAATAAGTGCAGCCAAAAATAGTCTCTTGTTTAAAGTTTGTTTAATAAATGTTAACACGTGCACACAAGCTTGGCTCAGAACAATGGTAATGCCCATAAAAAGGGTCTAAATAAAATATATAAATGCACGTGGTAGAGCTCATTCGATCACTCAGAGTCATGGAAGCTAAACTAGTGAAAAAGTTAATGCAGTTGGTTGCTGTAATTTTAATGGGCTTGGGTAAGTAAAATATTTTTTAAGGACATCATCGAAATTTATTTATGACATAAAAATATTTTTCAGTGCTCCAGTCGGCTGCCGACTGCCCACTTTCCAAGGCCGTTATTGAAGCTACCAATCGTATATTTAAAAGCGCCGATCCCGCCGGAAACTTGGACCTAAAACGGACAGAGCAAGTTCGCACTGGGGAGGTACTCCACATGTTCTGTCAGGCCAACGACATCGTAAGGACCACCTGCTTACCGAATTCGACCTTCAGCATCCCGCTCCCACTGCGGTGCAACAATCCTCTAGCTGTTTCAGCGACCATCGTCGCAGACTCATCCTGTCCAGCCACCACGTACTCAGTGGGATATGTCATCAATAATCGTCAGCTGGAGGTGTACCGCAGCTGTTACGATCGAGGCGCCGTGAAGGCTCTGTTCACTACCCACTTGATGTATCCAAAAAGCATCGGTAAGTAATTACTTAATAACTATCCTACTTTGACTAACATATTTGTCTTTTCTAGCCACTGAGCGAGCCTGTCCCCAATTAACGACGGATGGAGCTCTAAGTGATGCTGACGGAAACAGTTTTACGCCAGCGAATGTCTTCAACTCCTTCAGGCGGATTCTTGGCAGGAACCAACGATTCATACGCAATGATAGGGATACAGTCATCCTTCCTGCACGACTCACCCCATCGGCGGACTTCCTGTTCGGGGACCAGATTTGCGCCACTTCCAAGTATATCAACGTGGTGCCTCTGTTCAAGAGCATCAATGATGGCAACTTGCAGACTATTGAAAGGTGGGTGCGCACAACGGTGGGTGTTGGAGGACATATGCGAATCAGAACCGGTGTCCTGGGCACTCTTTCCCTGCGTGGAACAGAACGCCGACGTCGTCAGCACCCCATTTTCCTAATCGCTCCCAACAAAAACCCTGTGCCGGAATGGATTTTCAAGGTGGTCCGGACCGCCGCCAATCAACCGCATACGGTCTTCCTGACCTACAACAACATATTTGGAAACCGTCGCCCCAACGCCCCCAACTTCTGCCGAAGTGTACCCTGCCCAGTGCCCCTGGCCAACACAGCAGCAGCAGGTTTCACCTTCTGTTGCAATGCCGCCAGTTTCAATCGTTAAAGTATATTTCATCAGTATAACTTTTGTTCCAAAAATATAAATCGCAAAGAATATTTTTGCCAACTTATCTTCTATTTCCTGGGTCACGTAGCTAATGTAAGTCCCCGCCAGAAACCTGTCTGACTTCACACTCCCAGCTCCTGCCTAATGATTTCAGGTACGGATTCCTATTTCTTTTCTTTCTGCTGCACCTTAGATTCAATTTTAGATACGATTTTATGAGTGCTGATGACAAAATGCAAGCCACATAAAGTTCATTGGATGCAGCCTGAAAAGAGCGAAAGGGCAACTCCTTTGTTATTAAACGTGCGCTGGCAAGGTAAACAACGCAGCCCACAAACCACCTCCCTGATGCACGATAATAAACGCAGATAAGGCAGAGTGAAAAGCACAGAAAAAATGCGGTTGGCCCGGCTCTTTCCAAGAACCAGCCACTGTAAGCCATAAAGTCCCCCAATCGGCCCGGGGCAAGGACTGTCTTGAACCTCATGTGCTCCGGCCACTTATCACCGATGGCCCCAGAAATGGGCTGATATATAAGCGCAGCTCTTGAATAACTCTGCAATCGGACAAAAAAAAGATAATTATTTTGCCGTGTCTATTATTAAAATTTCTATGCCAATATAATCGGCTATATTTATTGATTTAAGTGATACAGTTTTCCGGTCAAACTACATTTGTTTGTATTTAACCTTTTTATTGAATGAGTTTTCGAGTTTTCGTTTCAAAGTTCATATTAATATTTTATATTTCTTATAGTGATAGTCAGAAAACATACAAAAGTTCTGCTTTGAAGCCTCTGGTCATCCATAATGAGTACTAAATATTATACCATAATGAGATTTAATATAACCGTGGTTCTGATACTAGAGTTATTAATACTATGAAATTCAAATCTCTTTTTAAAATTTCTTTGCTAATATTTCTAACACAGCCACAGTGTTCATGCACTCTGTTATTTTTTTAATTAACTAACTAAGCAATTAAATTCATTGGTCTTTTATCTCACTTTTGCAAATGCAATACATCTTATCGGTCTTATCTTCGACACAGGTCGACACTTTCGCATATGAATCGGTGCGACTAATTTTTGGTACATCGACCTCGACGGTTTCCGTTACGTTATTAAAAACGACAGTGGCCTGGAAGTCCGCAGAGTTCTGTTTGACCTTGAACTTTGTCCGATAAATGGCCACATCCCTAATGCGATCGATGTCGTGAAAGTCTTGGTCCAGATCGACTTTTATCTCCGTTCTATGAACATAACTTAGTGTTAGTTTTGAGCAAATGTCGCTGATGTTCCTGTCAGCCAAGTACTCGTTGATCTTTTCCATTACCAAGGGTGCGATCCGGTCGGCCCAGCCTGCCTTAATCCTCTGGTAAGGCACACAGGTGCAATAATGCTCTGGGATTCCGGCATCCTCGCAAACGCGGAGTTCAGGTAATGGTTTGAACAGAGATTGGCATTTGGGACAGTCGTGGGCCCGAGGCAGATGCGGCTCGTCAGGACTGCCCAGCTCTATAATGTGCTTCAGGGTATTGTGCAAATCATAGTTGGAAGACAATCGGTTCATGTTCACCTCAAGGGCGTTAGCGTACTCCGGATATTGGGCCCGAAACCAAGGCGGAAGGTAAATAAACATCGTTGGCAGACGCTCCTCCAGAAACCCGCTGGGTAAGGACATTATTTTGCCATACCGTGACCCGTGATCTGACATGAATATCATAATGCTGTGCTCGAATACACCGTCGGCCTCAAAATCCAGCAGGTACTGCAGCACATAGTCCTCCATTTTCGAAGGCATTTGGAAGCTGTCGTGGCTGAAGCTGTTGGACCAAAACAGCCCCCAAATGGGTTGTTTGTCGACGTATCGCCTGGCAAATTCCTTGGCCATGTCGTACACATAGCTGCTGGTTATGCGGCGACCTATGCAGTAACTCATGGAGCAGCTCTCGCACTTCCACTTTTTCAGGCCCGCCTCAAAAGACTTGTGGTTGGGTCGTCCGTAATAGTCAGTGGGCTGCTCCACAAAGCCGGGCCTACAGTAATTGAAAGTTTCCATACCAGTTTCGTCCTCAGCATAGGCGGTAAAGTAGCTTGCGTTCTTGAAGTACTTCCATACGAAGGGAGTTTCATCCAAACAGCCTTTCTCATGCCAATTGCAGACATTCTTCAGCGCCGAGTCCGAATCGTAGCCAGTCAATATGGCCATTAGGTTCGGGAAGGTATTGTCCCCTATCTGTTAAGTAAAAATTTAATTTAAATGCAACCATTAAAACCATTAAGTGTTTCCTTAGGAAACAAGTAAGTTTTCTGTACCTTATTGTAACCCTGCATTTCGTACCAGCCACTGCCGGTCAGGAAATTGTATACTTTGGGCATGGTGCGTCGCAGATTGATACGCGATAGGCTATCTATTCCAAACATAAGTACACTGGGCTTCCTCTTTGCCGGCTCCAGGGATAGACCTAGCGGGGGCGGCTTATGCTGAATCAAGATATAGGCATCACTCTGAAGTACATCGGAGTCGTTGCCAAGGCGGTGACACTCCACAATAAGGCCTCGCACGTGTAGAGGCACCTCAAAATTCTGAGAAAAATATTTTCGCTCTTTTCTATAAGGGGGACTCCATTTAAAATCCATCATTACAAAATGTTTAATTTCTATTACTTGTCATAACTGTCGTGGTTCTTATCGCGTATTATCTCTTGGTAATGACAGTTGTACTCGGAATCACTGGAGTTCAGTAAGCGGGTTGCGAGGGCCTCATCGATACGCAGAACATACCGTTGGCGTATGACATCATAGATGGGGGTCACCAGAGCGGTATCGTTGGAGCAGACCTCGAACTTTTCGGGATGAAAAACGGCCATAGCCGCCGGCTCGAAGGGATCTATGTATGGAATCTTACACTTGGCACTCTCCACAAAGTATTTCGGCAACGGCACCGAAACAACAATATCGCTTTCCCTGACTGGACTTCCCGAGACCGTAGAAGATTCTTCAACAAAGATGCCAACATCACCATCTTTATAGTCGGAGTCGGATCGCAATTGATTTTTATAGTTTTTTGTATACACTTCATTGGATTTATATTCGCGGTATTGAACATCTTCTTTTCTACTCAGCAAACTAAGTGTAACGATCACAGCGAGAAAGCACAAAACTAACCATTTAAGTTTCGAAGGTATAGCGGAGAACATCGTTGTGGGGGCCAAAATGTTTGTTGCTAGACTGAAGAGTTTGGGCTGGGAATCGTATCTTTTTATAGCGGCGCACGCCACATATTTGCAGTTATCGGGCTCTTCGGAAGAAGTTTTGATAAAGAATTCTATGCGTGTGTCAAAGGAACATGTGTTTAAGACCACTGTATTAAACTTCATCTTAGGGAAGTCACTCTTATCAAACATCTGTCAATGACATAACGTAATGACAAGATTCGTTAAAATAATAAAGTCTGGGAAAGTAGAAGCTTTGTTACATAATTATAACATTATTATCACATTCCTCTGATATCAGATTTAAACGGAATCTTAAAAAGACTATCCCTTTGTTTATTGCCAGGTTTATCCAACAAAACTCTTTGAAATTATTAACATCATTTATCGTTTATGTTGTTTACACTTCCCTATTTTAACAATTTTATCAAATATAATTTTTTCGAATTTTAAGAAACAGAAAATAAATGGGAGGAATTTTAAAGGATTGGAAGAATTATGCCATTTGAAACGACCGCCAAGCAAATAAAAATGGATTTAAGATTGTCTAAATACAAAGCACGGACAAGAACCATTGCGATGAAAGCTGACTGAACTAAACTGTGCTGGAAAACGTAGTAGTTTTACTATGGCGGATGCTTGAAATTTTTATTTGAATATAATCACATGAAAACAAACAAATATCAAATAAATCTTAAAGTAATTATTTCTAGTACATAAAATAGTTAATGGTAAAGCACATAATACATTATCTAGTACATTTTCTTATCTGTATAAATTATTATGAATAATTCAATAAATATTGAAAAATGGATTCTGCCCTGTCCCTAATATCAACGTTGAACACCCAAATAGAGATGTTGATGACCTTTATATAGTTATAAAATGAAAAAGTATAAATTTCTTTCTACATTATTTTACAAATATAGGATTTAGAGATTCAGTTTTTACTGTGTAGAGAGAAAACAAAGAGCGCTTACTAAACATTCACCCTCATTTTTAAAATGTTGGCTCTCACCAAAAGTGTTACCAGACCATTAATAACCTGCTCTGAAAAAGGGCTAAATAAAAGCCAAAAAATAGTTAAGATAGCTGAATAAAAGTCTTAAGAAATTAATTTCATAATTATATCAAGTTAATGAAATCTTAAAGCATAATAAGGTAAATATTTTCCATTATAAAACTGCCTAAAATTATCAGAATAAGAGTTACAAAACTAACATCCCTGCATCTGTGAGTTAGTAGCTAAATGGGCAGCACTGCTCACCAGCTGAAAAGTATCTGAAAACACCAGTATCGGAGACTCGCCGCGCGTATCTTATAAATGTATCTTTTGTTGGACTGCGCGGGTGTCTGTGCTGCGCGTTTCGGTAATTCGAAAAATCAAAATGTAGTAAAATGCAATAAAATAAGGAAAACAAAAATAAAAAGATTGCTCGTTAAGTGTCGGTTGCGATCCGGTTGAAATCTGCGTGAAAAAAAGTGAAAAAAACAGGCGTTCCCACGCCAAACCAAAGAGAGAAATATCCTGGCTGACGCAGGATGGCCGTGTAAAACAAACACGAGGATAAGTCGTCAGCGACTGAGAAGGATACGAGCAAGAAGAAGAAGAAGAGGAACAGGCGGAGCCGCATCTGCCGCCGTCAAAACAGAAATCGAATAGGACGAGATACAGTGCACATCCGAGGTAGAAATACAACCGCGATTGCATCTCTCCTGCTCCCATAGATTGAAACCAGTAACTTGATGTTTGGCTTAGGCGATCCAAAAGATTCAAAATAAGAGTGCATTGTTTTATCTTACAACTTCGGGTGGAAATGGATGTCTTTATCGCATAAATTCGACTGGTAATGTTGCAACGCAAAGAAAACGCAAAGTAAAAGCAAAGCCAGAACAAACAAAATACACAGCCCAAGAGAGAGAGAGAGAGGGAAAGCAAGAGAGTGCCCTGCGCGTATATTGGTGTATCTGTGTGAAAGTTGGTGTCCGTGTTAGTGCGTGTGTGTTGTGCTGCTAACAACAAATTATCGTTTAATTTATATTTCTGTGTTTTTGCGAAACGCAGCAGCGAACGAGTGACTTTTGCGCCCAAGGGGATGTCTTCGCCTCAATCGCTGGAAAAATCTGCCAAAGCTGGAAAAACATCCACCACCCCCGGATCGCCAGCTATCAGGATTTAAGGCGGATAACTAAGGCGCTTGCACTGCGATGCACCACTGAGTGGCATTCTCAAGAAGGTAAGCTTAGTACACAGGGCCAGTTCTGACCTCGCAAACGAATGCCAAATTTATCCAAAATAAAAACACGTTTGCCAACGCCAGCAGCAACAACAACCACGTCCAATTAAAGAGATGGTGAAAAAAAAAAAAAGAAAAAGATAAACCGGCATGCCGGCTGCTGCTGCAAATGCTGCAATTCAGTTCTGCTAAAAGTTAAACGAGCCAAGTGGCAGCAGAAACAACAAAACACTTTGCACCAAATACAGTATAGCTTCCATAAACTCGATTTTCGATGCCATTTTTACGTTTATGATGAGGTTTTCCACGCAATTTTCATCATATACTTTTCCATTTATAATATTTTCTCTGATTATTTTATGGTATTATGGCCTGCACCTCGTACCAAGTGGGCCCTGTTGTTTGTGCCCCACCAAGGGGCAGCATGCTTTAAATATTTCACCTAACTACACACAGAACTGTTCTCGGTGCGCCGCCAACTTTTGAAATGAAAATAATCATAATCAAAGGGTCGGGGGTCGGTAGTCGGAGCAGGAGCCTCTTGACAATGCCACACCCACTGCCCCTCCGGGCCCCACGTTTTTTCCACTGCCAGCCTCGGAAAGCCTGAATGTATGAATGAGTTAATCAGGGAGAGGAGGCATATCGCCGAAAGGCAACAGTCAGCAGACGCATCGTCGTCTGCCAGGGCTCTTGGTTGCCATCAACGGCAACCAGCAAACAAAACAGAAAAACAATTGCACTAAAGTTTCACTAGAAACTGCAATGAATCAGAAGGGAAAACCAGTACCACTACCAGTACCAGCAAGGGCACAAAAGAAATGTGTTGGCTGGAAACTTGATACTCTTTTTCCGCAGAGCGACTCCTAGTGTGTAGTAATCTTAGGGCCTAAGACTTGCAAATGAAAATAACTTAAAAAAATTAAAAAAAAAAAATACCCCTTTTAGATGTGTTTTGATTAAAAATAAACTTTCAGCAAAGGTCAGTAACATGAACGAACTAAATTAACCCTTGATTTCGAGTGTATCAAATACCATGACAAGGAATACGACGATGAGTCTGCCATAAATTGTGATGGCATTCTCCTCTTAACGGGTTTTTTTGTTTGTTACATTTTTCGACATTTACGCCATTGACGTAATTGTCAGACCCGGCCCAGACACTCTCTAGTTTACTATACGACCGAGCCACCATCGCAACTCTAGCTCTACTTCCAGCTCGCTACCCGTCTGGCTTTTCAAGCTCAAGAGCAGTGCCGCCCGGCAGCTGGCGGCGCCCCTGCTCTTAATTCTGGGGCTTTTCATGAATTTGCATTTGCATTTGCGGCCGCCGTCTAGCTAGCACTTGGACTAGCTTATTCAGATCGTATTTTTCCGTAATTTTCAGCGCTGCGCTCCGATTTTTTCCAACACATTTTTCCTTTGGGCACGGTTCGTTGCACTTTTGTCAAGCTTTTGGCAGAGTTTTCGGCTGAATTTTCGTGTTGTTGTCGAAATCGCACAAAAGTAATGAATGGTCTGATAAATTCTGGATGCCAAATAAACCCAGCAGACCAAGCAGCACCGCTGACTACCAATTTAGCCAGGCCACAAGCAATTAAAATTTAATTTTCCCAAGCCTCGAGATATCGCACATAAACCGCAGTATTAAAATTTAACAACGCAGCAGGTCCTGCGGCCAAATTGCCTACTGGCTAGCCACCTTAGAGCCCGACACCTCCCACAGCCCCAAAAACAAATTAATTGAATTGAGACACATTTGCGAGCCAGGCCGCAAAAAAGGAGAAATTATTTTGGGGAAACATTTTTTCGTGCGGCTGGCACATCAAATACATTTATAATTTTATTAGGACAGCATTTTTTTTATCCATTTGCTGGAATGACAGCGGAATGGAAGGTCCTTGGCAGTCAATGTGGTGAAAGCACGCACACCATGACCAACGCACAAATGCACTTGAAACTATTCTTGAATATAAGGTTAATAACCATTTTATTTCGAATATATATTTGAGTTATTTAAAGATTTTTTTGGCAGTGTAAAATCCCTGTCGGGCTGAGTCATTTTCCACCATGCTTTGGAGTGTTAGGCGCCGGTGAGGATAGCCCATAAAACAGTCCCTGTTCAACTCTTCGCGCAACCTTGTAGCAGAGTGTATTGTGAATTGTTTTCGGGTAGGCAACACGCTGCGGTTCCTGCAAAATCCCTCCCACCAGCCATCCTTCGTCCTCGGTATTGGCAACTGCGGGTGTGTGCTAATGACGTCGCACTTAACCCATGTTAACCGAAAAGAGGCGCGTCCGGTGCCTGGGCCCAGCAGGTAGCTAAGGTCAAAAGAAGACAACGATTTTTATGAGCACTTGACAACTCTATAAACAGAGAACGCTTATCACCCCCAGAACACCTACACCATGACCCCCAGTATCTTCATCTCTGGCTGATTTGCTGCCAGCTAGGCTTAACACTTGG